TGCTGCAGTAAGTAAATCTTAGTGTTTGGCTATTAGTATTGAAGGTAAAACTGGTCTAAATTGCGGTTAAATAGGTTTCAGAGGGAAAACGACGTATGTTACTATCCTTCTTAGTCGTTACTGTAACCCTTAGTCGAGTAGCTCGCTGAAAACTTTCAACATAGGATACAATAAATTAGAGTGCTGTCTACCTAGTCATCTAAAAGTTTAATAACAGGAAATTTTACATGAAGCGACAAATTGGATTTAGTGAGCCGAAGTTTCTTAGCAATATAAAACTCATCTAATTCTGATTTATGATGTCTTAACATGTCTGTCTTTTTGCCCTCACGTAAAGAAGACCTCATCGAAAATATCGTCACTTGGCATGAACTTTCTTGACTCAAATGTTATTTTCATACTAATATAATGTTATGAAGTGTCTCCGAATGGTTTGTTCTGCTTCCCTTTGTTACTATAAGCCTCACTTTATCCTTTCTTATCGAGTGTGCGAAATATACAATGATAATTCATCAGATGATAAGCAGTTGTATGAAGTGCAAACGTAAGTTAATTGATGCTATGTACTGTTACCAACAATCTGGCTAAAACAGCACAGTGAAGCATTGCTCGGGTCTCAAATCTTTATTAGAAAAAGATTATTTACTTATTATTGTTATATAAGATGATCAATTTGGAAATTATGTACACGGTGAACAGTCCACATTGACATTTCTTGCCGATATGGAGCAAATTGCTTGTGTTTTGTTGCTAACAAGCTAGAAGACTGACTTCCGGTCGACTGAGTTTCATTCAGCTATGTGAGAACTGAGTTTGGAATTACTTTCATCAGCCAACAGGGTGGAAATGCATAAAGCTATCTCCCTTATCTACAGAAAGATAATTTTACCCAAAAAATAGACTTTCTTTCATTCGGTTATATTTAATGGCTTAACTAGTAATTTTATTCTCTATTTTCCCTCATTAAAACTCGAAATACATTGAGCTAGTTATTTAGTTAGTTAGAAGTTTCTTGATGACCTTACATTAGAACATGTTCATGATGATTATTTCAGAATCTTTAACGTTCAGTTATTCCGAGAGACTGAAAGAAACTTCTAACCTCATTTAACTTTTGAGTAGAATAGCGTGCTTTTTATTGACTAGTGTAAACATAATTGCTTTAAACTGTGGTTTATTTAGCCTATTAATGAATTCGTATCTTGAATTCTCTCAGTTTTGTACCCTTCTTCATAATAACTTTTGTTAATATTTTCGAAAAGTCTGGCTCACCAGATTTTGATCTCTTTTGATTAATTTATTTAGTTTACAGATTGCTTTTTTAAACGAGCAAAAAGTTAATTAGAAGTGACATTTTAAAATTTGCTGTAAATTTCATTCAAATAGTCCTAAAGGATAGGGTAAAGTGATTCATTTGATTTCAAAAAACGAGGAAGAAAAGTATGAACATTTAATTACTAATAGTAATCAGTCAACTGTATTGCCTATCATTTGACTATATTAGATAGCCGTAGTTTGGCAGACTAATATATTTACTGTATGATGATCGCAGCCGGATTCGAACCAGCGACCACTGGGTTTTCGGCTCGATGCTCTACCAGCTGAGCTACGAGGTCTGAATGCCAACCAGATTTTTACTTCACTTAAATCACCAGGAGTTTTACCTGACTACCATGTGAACTTGTGACGCGTTACTACCACAGTCGAACTTCATAGCTCAGTTGGTAGAGCATCGAGCTGGAAAACCGGTGGTCGCTGGTTCGAATCCAGCCACCGTTCAAATTTTCATCGTACCTTCAATAATCACATCTAGCTGATGAGCACCAGGTAGAAGGAAACGCACCTCCTTTATTTCGGCGCTAATCACTAAGATGAATGCAGCAACATATAGTCACTTATCAGATTATTCTAAGTAATGTTACGTGAATCTCATGAAAGATATTTAGATGATTATATTATTATTAGTATTTGTCCTTATGGGTTCTTAATGGAACAAACATCGTCCGTAGCACATCTCCATTGCACTCTACTCCATACGCTCTTTTCAACCTGGCACTATGAATGCCCACAAGCATTCATTTCTTCCTCACATCATCTCCTCTATGTCACCCTCACCTTTGACGCCCAACTCGAGGGCCTGGAGCGTTATGTCCCGAATGATCGGTTATAATAGAGAGCAATCTTGTATTACTGCTTTCTGTCTTCACTCCAAATGCATCACTGAGCTTTTCATTGTGGATCACGTGGTATGTGGCGTCATCATATAGTTGTTGAATGAAGTTGATAAAGGTTTGTGGCACTAAAACCGTAGTGTTGAAGCAGCAACTGCCAAATTACTTCTCGGTCGACTCTGTCGAAGGCATTTTCAAGTTCAATAAAGTTCAGGTAGAGAGTTGACTGTCAATCTGTTCTCTTTTCTAGGATAACGCGTAGCGTTGCAATTTGATCCACACATGATTTGCTCTCCCTAAAGCCAGCCAGCCACCTGTTCCTATCGTTATTTTGGATCCGGAGCGTTGTATAGTATCTCAAGGATGATGAGGAATTTAATTTTGCTTGGTGTGCACAGCTGCATGATTCCTCTCCATTATTTCCTAAGACTCAGGTCTCTTTTCTTAGGAAAGTTGAAAAAGTAGCCCTCCTCCCAACTGGCCGTTACCATGCCTTTCCTTTCGTTCTTCCTTCTTTCAAAACCTTCTGCAATAGTCGTGTGAGCATGTCCGCTATTGTCTCTGCTTCTGTTTTCAGTGTTTCAGGAGGAATCTTATCTGGTTCTGTTACTTTCCCAGCCTTCAGCAACTTAACATGTGCTTCTTTCGTAGGCCTAGTTCTTTGATATAGTGTTGTCAGGTCTCTGTCTCTCTCCCACCAGCAACCTGTTCTGCTTCATTTGCCATTGTGTCATAGAAGTGTCTTTTGTCTTCCCATGAACTCTTCTTCACTTCTTTGTCCACTGTGGTGTTATATTTTTTTTCCTCCTTTCGCTGTTCATCGCTGCATTGCACTGAACCGGTTCATCTTCTGCTTCACCATCTTCCTCTTCCCTCCTCTATCAGCTTCCATTGTTTCATTGAGATCCATTACTTGTCCTAACTTGTTTCGTCTTCCTTCTTAACACAGTTACGCAGGTTTCTGTCTACGTCTTTTTCAAAGAGTTCCAGTGTTCTTTCACCCCCTATCCTTCTGGGATACTGCACAATATATCACATTTTGTCGTGATAGCTGAATAACGTAAAGATGTCATTTCTAGTTTCGTCCTTCAGTTTCAGTTCTAAGTGTTGAACTTGAACTGTGGTCTATCATCACCAACTTCTTTGAAGCCTTTCATAGCGGTTTTAAAGGCAGGTTAGTGAGTAGTGGTGGAGCGGTATTGGAAAGAATTAGTCGAATGGTAATGAAAGATTCTAGGGACATCACGTGCCAGACTCTCGAGTGGGATCCATAGTGGTAACGATGAGTTGAGCATCCAAGGGTGACATGGAGGATATCACATGGGGAAGAAATGAAAGCGTGTGGACAGTCGTGAACCAGGTTAAAAAGATTGCAGAGAATAGAGTGAAATGATGACGTGCTACTTGTTTTTTTTCCACTAAGAACCCAAAGGACAAACAATAATGAAAGTTTTGATGCAGTTAATGCCAGCTTAGAGAACACTTAGGTCTTAACAAAAATAGTTTTTGTAAACGAGTGGAATGTCTAACATTTGTTCTGATGCTTGATACTTATTGTATCACGATAGCAGTTTGAGCAGTAGTTACGAAGATTTTTGGTACTTAAAAGATAAAATTCTAGCGTAGTAAACTTCAGCTTTGCACTAATGTACATTGGGAAGACTCCAGTGTTTGCATAACAACGTTGGATAATAAGGAGCGATTGAATTTGAGGGTTTATGGGGATTTAGTGATGAATGCCAGCTTGAATAAAGAGAGCTGCCTAATTATATAGATGGGTAAAATAGGTAGAGCTTATAGAGGTAAACATGGCGCCATGAAACTCTTAGCTGGATTTTCCTACCCTTTAACAAGGTAAACAGGCAAGTGAAAGCTCTTGTCAAGGTAATCGCAAAACAAATGCAACATCGGTGATATTCTCATCTAAACTGGGAATAGCAATTACAGTTATAAAAGAAGTGGATTTAGAAACAATGACAGAATGCCGGTGTCTGGATTATATACCAATGGCTTTACAATGATTATGTAATTCTTACAGTTTTACTTATGTTCTGACATCTAAAACTCAGTAGGTTTTGTTGTTAGCCAAAAATATGCAAGAAACGAACATTTTAAGCAATAATATAATCTTTCAAGAAGGGTATTTAAATTATGTTTCACGGAACGAATAGGACCTGCCACGAACTGCTTTGTGTATTAGTCTCAACAAACAGTTTTTACTATATCATAAACCACAAAATAGAATTATGAATAGGGCAATATGAAAAGTTTGGTTGCTTCTCAGAATGTGAGTGTCACATCTTAAATACTTCTAATTTATATGAAGCTAAAATTAGAGATTCAAAAGTAATGCTTTGCAGGTGACAATGGTCGGAAACCTCACCTTTCTTCATATCCTTTGCTGTTCTTGATAATTATATAAAGCTATAGACTAGGACGGAATGAACCATTAAACAATAAACTCAATCTTTAACATCTAAATGGAAAATTTTAATTATGGAGTTATTGAACTCATATTCAACTATTTTTTGGAAGAATTTTTCTTCCATAGAAATCTGCATATGAACCTTAGGTAAATGGAAAACCAAAAAATATTTCCTCTTGTTACAACAAAACATAGAATTTTTGTTAACTTATATCATTAACTAGCCTAAAATTTTTAGAATCACGTTAACTTCTTGCTTTCAACTGAACTTAACTTCCAAAAAATACACATTATTTTGTCTGAGGACTTATTTTTTTTCCTTAATAATTGATAAAACACAGGCTAAATGTCTTGAAATTTGTTTCTTGAATTTTTCCTATTATGAAATTGAAAAAGCTAGTGTACATATCATTCAGCTGTTTTATTTTTATGATGATAACAATTTCAACTGTACAATATGCTTTCGTTTCATTTCTTCCAAAAAAAAATATCTCTTTATTAGTAGGTGGTGCTTAAATCATGCAAACTACTTGAACATACGAAACTGATTCAGTCAAACAAAATGAAAAAATGCACTTAGACACTAGTTCCATATGTCATCAAGAAATGTTATCATAAGCAAACAAAACTCTTGTACAGTAAATCCTAATGATATTCTTGTAAAATGCTTTCGTATTTAAACATGTTTTTGTCATATTCAGTATTTAACTTGAGAAGCTCCTGATTCTTGTTCGTTAATGATGCATAAGCTGACATTGTATTTCAACAATAATGCCAAATAAATGCACAGCAATGCCTAATGAATCTGCTGGTGCCAGTAATGTATCATTCATTTTATAATTTAATAAACCACTAAATGCTGATTGTAACATACCAGCTGTCAGAGAGATCCACTGTGGGGGACAGTCATGGTGTCTTGTAATCATTAAAGATAATAGCGAATCAAATAGTATAAAATTATTGACTATACTTGACAAAAACCATAGTGTATGAAGGGCTTCAATTTTGTTACTTATAAGTAGTATATCTTTGTCCATACAATAATACACACTACATATGAAGGTTAATAAGGTAATACATACCCAAGTGTTGTGTTTATCTTGCGCATATATAATACAAACGAATAAATAAAAGCAATTGGAAAGAAATAGAAATACGAAAAGGAAAATGAAACAAGTTGGTAATGTAGGTGAGTAATATTCATAAATAGCTCGTGTTATAGCTATTACAGCGCATGTTAAATAGTATAGAGTTGTATTCCTTGTTGCATATTTCGTCTTCGATATGACACAACATTCAAAAAGTCCAAAGGCATTGTGTACAAGACATGATAATAAATAGGCACTCTGTAATGGATCAAGTGCTTGATATAGTGATGTTAAATAAGTAAACATAACCAATTAATTATAATGATATACACGTTTATGTATGTAAGTATCTAGATATATTTCCTTATGTAATTGTAACCGGTTTTATTTGCTTATTTTTGTCGGTGAACAGCTTGTAATCTTAGGTACTCCTTAGATAGGAAATGATGTGAGTTCCGTATTATTCAGCTGAAACAATGTGTTGAATTGATCTTTACATCTTATTTGTAGCCTGTTAACAGTTTTGAAAAACAAAAAAATCAATAAAAGTGATATTCAATGGCCATACGTATCTGTTGTTCACAGTACATGCACAAAGGTTTTTGTCAGTATGTACATCATCGAATGTTGACTATGAAATGGAGGTGATACACAAAGTTTTGCACGTAATGAGAATAATTTTTATGAGATGAGTAGAGATAATATGAACAGAAACCTACTGATATTTTCATGAAGTATCGACAAAGTTGAAATTTTTTTTGAGGGGTAGAATAAAATTACATTCATTATCTTGTTTGTGATATTTATTCAGAGTAAACAAATCTCTTCTCCGGAAAAATTGTGGCAGAATCTTATTGTACATAAGTGAGCTCATAGACTAATGTCAATGAAAATCAATGAGGCTACCTAAACATTCAAGATGGTAACGATTTAAAAGATGTGAACTTAAGCAGCAAACCAGCAATAGCTTTTATAGTTGTCTGTTGTTTCAGTTATATGAAGAATGAACAAAGTTGTAAGTAGCCTAATAAATGATTGAACAGTCTTTTGGTGTGCACAATATCTGCAGTACGATAAACCAGCATACAGGATCCAAAAGCTTCATCGTAAAAGCCGTGTTCATTCTCAATCGATGAACATCAGTAGATCCTCGTGGACTAAGTCTAGACGTATTCAGAGTGAATGATTCGATAACAGTTAAGAAAATAAGTGATATTTTCACTGCGGTGAAATATGCAAACTTTGATATAGTGGCTTTATAAGTTTTTGTTTATCACGCTTGCCGAAAAGCAAACTATCCTAGAAATTAACCAGTAAATATCAGGTCTAGAATTGCCAAACTATCAGATTTATTACAATGTCTTGAAAAATTAATCTTGGCCAGTGAAGTCATGCCCCATCTACCAGTATCTTAGTTAACAGCTAAATTGTCATCTTACTTGATGGAGAAATGGTTTTGGTTACTAAATTAATGCCCAATTCATAAATGTGGAACTACATAATGCTTCTAGATCCACAGGCGACAACTAACAAGTTGACAGAAGAGACAGACCAGCGAAAACGGGACTGCCTTGAGGTGAATGTACAGAAGACAGAGGTGATGAGGATACCCAACCACCACCAACAGCAACAACAAGCATTAATCACCATCAACGGGGGAAACCGTAAGAAAGTGGCCTCTATCATCTACTTAGGCGTTCATTTAACGGAAACCTCTGTGTAGATCTATTGCAATCAGCATAAAGCGTGAATAATATCCGGATTTTCAACACTCATCCAGTCAATTCAGTCCTTTTATATGGTTCAGAGACATGGCGCGTTACGAAAAGCACTTCCAACAAACTACATACATTCATCAACAACTGCCTACGCTGGCTCGTTAATGAAGCTCGGATGGCCAGAATAATAAGCAACAAGGAACTCTGGCAACGAACCAACCAAGAACCTATCACTCAATGAATATGCTGAAGGAAGTGAAGATGGATTGTGCATTCACTGAGAAGACCATTCGGGGACGTCACGCACCAGGCACTCGAGTGAAACCCAGACGGGAAACGGCGAGTTGGGCGTCTGAGGCTGACATTGAAGAGGTCATGTGAGGAAGAAATGAGAGCTTCTGGGCAGTTGTGGAGCCAGGTTGAAAAGAGTGCATAAAGTAGAGTGGAATGGAGGCGTTTACTGAAGCCTTATGTCCCACTAGGAACCCAAGGGACAATTAAATAATGTTAATAATATAATATTGCTGACTTACCTACTATGCCGAATTCTATTGAAATGTTATTCAACAAACTAAGTGGCTATGTGAGATATTTTGAAAGTAATTTTACAATAGAAATCAGTGTTTGAATAAGCCGAAAAAATTTCATAAGAAATGCATTATTCACCCTCGAGTTTGTAATAATGATCTAACATAGGCACTTCTTGTTATGTTTAATAAAAAAAGACAAACAAACACCAAAAGAAGCAAACAATCTTTTCAGACAGTTAATGTGAATATTTTGACACTTCTAGCACCCGTTAGACTTCATCAAGTGCTATAAAAATAGAAAGCTAACTAAAGTGTTATTCCATAGTGAAAATTAAATCACGTAAGGTTTAATATAGGAGTAAAACTTGTGCACTGTGGTACAATGTAATTCATTTTTATCGATTTATTAGATTTATCATAGTGTAACAGTATTGTTTACTGGATCTAATAAACAAGTGAAAACAGGTTAGGTTTCTTATTACTACTAGTCTGACCTAGTTAACTGTTATGAATAGATTTCCTGATAATTCTATCATTGGTAATAAGCCAGTTTTAAACACATCAACTAAGATGTTGTTAATGAAATATAATTACTACTGTTAACACCACCATCATGAATTCAGATTTCAGGTATGGTTCACTGAGGCAAAAGTACCTGGTCAGTGACTCATACGCTCTTTTATTTGAAGATATCAGACAGGCCAGTCAGACAGTAAAAACCTGTACACACTTCTAATTAGGAATAACCAAAAAGTTTTTATGACCTGAAAAAACTTGAGAAAGGCTTATGCCTAATTTTTAGGTCATCAAATACCATTTATAAAAGCAAAAGTCTTACAAAAGGGTTTCCTTTCTCACAAAAAGCAGGCTATTGCAGAAGTTTTGTATATCTGTTCGCATCCAACATAAGACATGAATTAAGCATCCTAAAAATATGAAGAACATTGGTGACTAGCCTAGACAGCTTCAAATAATATACAAAGCCAAGGTAGAAAACAACTTCACTTCACACTGATCCACATGGTGTATTCCGAATTTATTCATATTTGAATAGTTTACAGTGTGATTTCACTTAGACGTGTTTACCTCAACACGGAACAATTCTATTTTACCAACCTGTCTAATCCTATTACAAAATGTTTGACTGCTTTACAACTTTCATCAGTCATAATCTCATTTCTGAGTTTTACATATTCTACGAGCCATTCTAGATATTACACGGTCCACTTTGTTATCATTCATACTTCAACAATTATCAAAGTAAAGGAACCTTTATTCATATCACAATTATGATTATCAACAATAATTATAAAATGTTTGGTTTCCGAATATTCATCTTTCAAAAATAGTAATTTTTTCTTACGCCCACCAGCTGACACAAAACTCTATTCCAATATTCATAATTCCAACTAAATTTCCTCACCCTATTTTTATCCCACATTCAATCCAGAAGTGGAAAACCGGATCTGACTGATATGCCAACTGGGAAGAGAGCTACCTTCTAAATTTCATGGAGAGACCTCACAATTCTCTCCATTCAAAATTACTACCAAAACAGAATGACTGGATGGCTTGTTGGCTGACTTCAGAAAGAACAAATCATGTGTGCATCAAATTGCAACGCTACACTACGCATCATCATAGAACAGAGCATAGAATGATAGTCAACTCAACTTGATCATTTTTGAAATGGTTTTGGATAGCGTCGACCGAGAAGGAATTTGGCAACTGTTTCAACACTACGCTTTTAGTGCCACTAAACTTCATCAACCTCATTCAACAGCAGCTATATGCTGTGTGAGGATGCTAAATGCCAAGTGATTCTCAATGGAAAGCTCACCTCAGTGAAACTTTTGAAGTGAAGACCGGAAGGAGTAAGAAAAGTCTGTCCCTTACTATCCCCTACTCTCATCTTCTTGATTGTGGTCCATTCGACTCGACTCAACTCGACTCGTCTCGACTGGATCACGCAACAAACTGTGGTGGATGAGAATAGGGGCATATCCTGGCTGGATCGACGAAAACACACCAGAAGAAGATTTGGATTTCGTCGCCGATGATGATTTATATCTAATGTGTTGTCGCACAAACTCGAAGACCTACAGGCGACAACTAACAAGTTGACAGAAGAGGCAGACCAGCGAAAACGGGACTGCCTTCAGGTGTGAGGATACTCAACCACCACCAACAGCAACAACAAGCAACAGTCACCATCAGCGTGAGAAATCTACAGAAAGTTGTCTTACCTACACCTACCTAGTCAAGGCAGCATTGTTTCAAGCACAGACGGCGGTGGCGGCACATATGAGGATATAAAAGTCAGGACCAAAACACAGCACGACAGACCTTCAGTCACTAATCGGAAGTGGCTGTGGAGATCTACTGCACTGCAATGTACTGCACTGCACTCAGCACAAAGAGTGAACAAGATCCAAATTTTCAACACTCATCCAGTCAAGTCAGTTCTTTCATATGGTTCAGAAACGTGGGCGTTACTCAGAGTATTTACAACAAACTTCAGTCATTCATCATCAGCTGCCACCACGCTCGATACTGAAGGTCAGATGGTCGAAAAGAACAAACAACAAGGAACTCTGACAAGCAGCGAACCAACCAACAACTCATCGCACAACAAATATGCTGAAGAAAGTTGAGATGAGCTGGATTGGCCACCCAGTGAGTAGACCGTTTGGCGACATCATGCTTCAGGCCAGCTCAGGCCTTCGAGTGGAATCCGAAGGGGATACGACGAGTTTGTCTTCCGGGGGTGACACGGAGGAGATGGTGTGAGGGAGAAATGAAAGCTTGTGAGCAGTCGTGGAACCAGGTTAAGAAGACTGCAGAGAAGAGATTGAAATTGTAATGTACTGCTGAAGGCATCTGTCTCGTTAGGAACCAATGGGACAAATAAATAAATAAAAAATCATAATCCCAAAAAGATGATAACAAAACAAACTGTTAATTCAGTTTCTTCAAAGTGTCACTGTTTGCACTCTTAGCATCAAATAAATATGCATTGACCGATTTGCTTCTTTCTCTATGTGTCACAGTGGCGGTGGAAGGCACACTAATTAATTCATTAACTGAAGTCAAAAAATCTAAGAAAGCTTACATGTTAGTTTCATTTACGTGACAACCTGTTCTGTAACATTTTATATAATGAAAATATAATGAAAAAATCAAATGAGCAAATGTCTACATGATTCGCTTTGTATTTATAATAAGGATGATCTTAATCACAAATAACATTAGAGGTAGACTGATGAATACTGAGAGAGGGACAGAATAGGACATTTCTTGAATATTCAACTTCCATATCTTTGGATGTATATAAGCTCTTCGAAGCTGGGAATCTTGAGCGTTTACCTTCTCTCACTTGGAACCTTGAATTAGAATCAGTCTAATATGAACTTCCATTTCAGTGTTATCGTTGTACGGTGTAGTCATCACATCTACGAGCTTTTTGAAATATTAATTGACATATATGTGAGTTATCCCAGAAAAAACCTATTTCATGTTTATTGTTGCTCTATTGGTAAATATGCGCATTGTTGATTTCTAATTTCAGTTGCATTAATATGTCACCAACTTAGGGCAATGGTCAGTTCTTCAACAAAAGTCCTTCGTTAAAGGCATTCTAAAAATTAGTTTACTGAATAGGACAGGTTGCTGAGATTTTCAAACAATCATGTTTAACATGCGAGCATCAGACTTTTTTCGGATGAATAATCTTGATGTTCACTTGATTATAATATACCTTGGTATGTATGTTCACTAGTGCAAGACATTCGGTGCATTTCTTCTGTTTGCAAGCAAACTCCAGGTAAGAAAATACTCATGTAGTTTCCACAGGTTGCATAGATTATATTACTTGAAATAATGGAGAATATTTGTAGCTCAGGTGGGGATGGTCTTGGTTGTATTGTGTTCTTTGAGCTGGGTTGTTCAATCGATTAAACAAACCAGCTCAAAGAACACAATAAAACTAAGATTATAATAACTAAATACTTAATCTTCATACCAGTCGGTAAAAGAGTTTTTTTTCTTTGCCAGCTAATCGATGGTCTTAACACAAACGTCAAGATTTTTCATTTTCGCTGCATAATATTGTGATAAGTGGGGACTGGCAGTAGAATCCAAAACACTTATTTCACTTCATTTGCAACTAGTTAGTTGAGTGTACTGCCTCTCAGTAGGCGACGTTTTTCCAACTTAGAAGAGTGAAGACGGAACTCGTTTCCTGGATTCTGGTAGTATGTAATCTTCTTCCCCAATATCAAAGTTACATCATTGATTGTACTGAGGCATCCGCACAGGAGAAGCATTCCAAAGTTGATTTGCCGTACCAGAGTAAACTTGTTAACCGTGGGAAATGACATGTCATAGCATAATCGTATTGCAGGATGTTCACAGAAATAAAATAATCGACTGATAGTATCCTGTTTTTTAATGACTCTAGAATCTATTAAATGACAATTAAATAATTTATCCAGAGATCGGTTTTCTTAGTGAGCATAATAAACATGCATTTGAGGTAAAACCTCAACTGTTACAACCAAACTAAACTAGTAACAATTGAAAACATGAACCACTTTATTTCTGTTAAGCTGTGCCTGAGTGATGTACAGGTCGACCAGATGTAACGGCGTATTTGCAAATTCAAATTAATAATTTTACTCAATGATGATTAGCTGGCTTTCACTTTTCGACTAACTTGATGGTTATTTATTATTTAAGCCTATATTTATACATATTTGTGGTCTTTTGATCACTTTGGCTATTTTTAGGTCCAGTTCTCAAGATCATATTGAAGTTAAAAACCTTTAAATGTGTAAACTAACCTTTCGAAATGCAAATATGTGAATTTCAAAATAGAAGCTACACATGGAAATGCTAATTCTTACACATTAATCATGCTATTAATACTTATTTGTGACTAAAAGCAAAAATAGGATAGTACTATCCAATTACGTATTTATATACTATAGTAAATATCATTTGACTTGTCTGAAAGAAAAAAATTATTAAAGCATGAAAAACTCTCATATATTGCACACATGGATAGTAGAGAAAGAAAGTAATCATACCGTTTCTAGACATATCTCAAGTTTCACCGTAGGTGGATGAGAATCTATGTGGAAAACCTGTCAAAATATTCATAATAGTTTCAATATTCAATTTAAATATATTGAATACAAAAAAAATGAAAGTATTTCTGATATATTCACCTGTTAAAGATGAAGTTACATTTCGCTGATATGCAGAAGGTTGAGATGTGAGTGAAATGTGCCTGCTATTTTGTCAGTGTAGCCATAGAATTTTCCTGTCCCTGAGCCACCGTTAAATGACTTTGAACCCATAAAGAAGGAAACGGTTGTTTCTTATCAACTGAAATATAAGAATTATGGGAAATAACAGTGTATTTATTTTATAACCTTCATAAGAAACTTGTCGGAGTTTCCAAGTTCTTCTAAGTTCCTGGAATAAAAGAATCTACCATTAGGACAGTCATCTATTTGACTCGATACCTAGAAGCTATGAGAACTGTAATATAGATATGAATTAACATCGAGGTAGCTTCACATCATCTCTTTCTTATTTAGTAAAACAAACAATGTGAGTGAAGAAATATTTTTTATTCAGATTTAAAAACAGATTTAAAGTAAATTAAGATGATAAAAAAATAAATTTAGTTATTTTAAAAAAAATAAAGAATTGATGGGGGAGAAAAGAAAGGCATTATGAATGTTAACTCGGTGGCCGGTGTCAATCAGATGAGAGAGTATTGAGCTTCGTGTCAATCTGGTTTCCCCCTTACTTAGCCATGAAGGATGATGCTTGGCGATTCGTCGACGGACTTGCCTAACTGTACGTCCAATGTAACTAGCTCCACGGGAGTAGTTGAAATGGTAAATGCTCATGGAAGAGAAGTCAGTGAGTCTGTCTTTAGTTCGTGTGGTCATCATCGGCCGGCTGTAGAAAACACAACATACCTTGACGGCAATATATGTTCCTGGCTAAAAATATGAACACATCCAATTTGAAAATTAGAATGCCTACAGTCTCCAAGAAACCATTGTCCCTAAGACTACAATTTCGAGGTGACATCATCAGTGAAATTGGGACACAACGCTTAAGAAGTGTCATAAGAAGATCATTTAATGCCGTCAAGGTATGTTGTGTTTTCTACAGCCGGCCGATGATGACCACACGAACTAAAGACAGACTCACTGACTTCTCCTCTTCTATGTGCATTTACCAGTTCAACTGCTCTTGTGGAGCTAGTTACATTGGACGTACAGTTAGGCAAGTCCGTCGTCGAATCGCCAAGCATCATCCTTCATGGCTAAGTAAGGGGGAAACCAGATTGACACGAAGCTCAATACTCTCTCATCTGATTGACACCGGCCACCGAGTTAACATTCATAATGCCTTTAAAGTTATTTATCACATTCCTTCTCACCTCACCCATACTCTACGAGTTCGTCTTTTACATACAGCAGAAGCCATAGGAATCCACCTACACAAGCCAAGTCTGTGTGTTCAGAAGAGATTCGTGCAGCCTCTTTCTTTGCCTTGGCCATCTGTATAGCTCATTTATTACAACAAGACTCTTCATTTCATCCACCACACAATTCACTATAACTAACATTTTAATAGTTCCATTATTATTATTTTTATTATCACAGACCCAACCATCTTTCTCCCCCCCTACTGTCTCTAATTACCGTCAACAATTTACCATTTTACGTAACAGTTCATTTTCGCTCTTTAGTTATCATTATACAAAATATCAATTATGTAAGAACCTGTTCACAAAATCTTTCTACGATAGTTAATCTTTGCTTTAGTTTACTGTCTTAATTACCTGATCAATTATCACCTTCTTGAAACTTTGAGATTGATAACCTTTCATTAAACAACTGTTACCACTAGATTGGTATGTCATTTTACGTTTGAAAATGCTATATTAGTGTAGAGCCATTGATGAGGAACTAATTGAAAAGAAATATTTCTTCACTCACATTGTTTGTTTCGCTAAATGTTTAAACGGGAATTTTCGCGTTACTGAAATCTTTCTTATTTATTTGAAGTCCTGTAAAGGAATTTATGAATCATATTTGAAGAAACGAAATCAGATTACATGTCCATGATGTTTAATATTTAGTACAGACTTTCAAAAATAATGCATTAACTCAGTATCAGTTTTGAAGAAAGACTTGTTGGCTGTTTGTTTACTGCTTTATTACTCAGCGGGTGGTACGAACTTCCTAGGAATTAAATGCTACTTTGTAATGGTTAGAATTAAGGATTATATTTGAGTTTTAGAGTGTGTAAAAACAATATTAAAGCATAAAATAATCTAAATCTTACTCGACATAACTCCCTCCTTTTTTTAAGAAATGCGAGCACAGGAAAAACTTTCCAGAACTAAGAAGCTGTGCAAAGCACTCAAATGAGAATTGACTTTTACTGAAGTAATCATCAGGAGAGTTCTGCATAAGTCTACCTATAACCAGTAACATTCAATAATTTATATGAAGCCTCCTAGAACGATTGCACAGCCACCTAAAGTGTGATTGGCCATTTTAGCATCAGCTGAGAGTCCTTTGAGGTAAGACAAGTTTTATATTCCCATCTTTTTGTTGAATGTGTAAGCCAATATTGAAGCATAACTGTGATAAAGTGCTATCTCATATAAATCTACAGTGAATTCCTGGAAAGCTTGAGTGCAAGTCCACAACTAAAAGTCTGAGAGGATCATTCAAAATGCTATCATCTATTCATAATAGAAATTACTTGTACTTCTTACATTGAATAACAAGTAACTAGTTTACACGTTACATTAAACGTCAGTTCCTTCTTTATATTTTCGAAGTTTAATTACAGATTGATCACATAACTTTATCAAAAATAGTTGGCATATATTTTCATTTCTTTCTGTAGAGCTATCGGTGTACGGGATAAAATAACTACACTCTGTAAATCACCCATTTCTACTTCGTCACAGTCCTATTCAACAGATATAGCTAATTCAAATCATCGAATTTTCCTGAACAAATTGTTCCGTTCCGGTAGGCCAACCAGAGAAGAGGTGGAAGATTGGGCTCGCTCATTTGAAGCTGTTCTGAGAGATAAATGTAAGCAAAATACATTTATTTTTAACAAAAATATTCCCTTTTATGAAAATAAAAGGAATAAGAACAACTTTTGCAACAGAATAATATCAAATGGACTCATTTTATTCCGTTTTAATTCTTTTACTTTCTTGATTGCTTATAATATGATTCAATAAGGTTCTTATTTCTTAGACGAAACACTTGTAATGAAGTAGTGATGGGTTAGACAGGAAATTTATACTCGTTTTATAATATGAGACTATGTAGGATTATAATTGGAATCCGTGGTTTGAAATATATAGTGCTATGTTTCACACAACCATTCAAGAAGAATTAGGATTGTAACTGAAATTCGTAGGTACACACAACCCAACAATCTTCAGCAATCTTAACGAGTTTAAAAAAGTTTAATGGCCTCAGTGACCCAACTACATATACCCATACCGTAGATATGTCTCACAATAGCATTTAGGATGTAAAGAAATGAGGTTGCGCTGTCAGTCATAGTAGAAAAGATCATTCATGAAATGATGAGAACGTTGCTATGCACCATCCAAGTAATTTACCTGAAATAAATTCGGGCTTCAGAAAATATTACTTGATGAAGTCTTTTAGGGAGGCATGCCCAATTATCACAAAACAAATCAGTAATGCAATTGCTGAAATAACTAGCTAGATCTCTAGTCTTCGCCAGGAGCTATCAACTGACAATCATTTATATGAACTATGATCAAGATTCGGCCGTAGCCTGGCCAATATTGGAAACTGACATTAGATATAGTTCGAATCTGTGTAAACCACAGAGTGTTTGAAATGAAGTAATTTCATCCTCTTGCACGATTGTCTGGTCCAAGCTTCTTCACGGAAATAATCAAAATTAAAATATCAAGGATATATATAAAAATGAGTTCAAAGATGTGTAATGAGTATCATTTTCTAATCCTCCTCGGATAGTCATTGTCCTTCTAAAATATGATAACTAATCATTCAGTGTGACTGTTTTGTTATTTGTATATCTCTTGTGTATGGCAAGCATTTGTTTGTATGTGTACTTCCATCCCCTTGGTGGTAAATATCAGACAATATCAGACTTCTTTTCGTCTAGTCCTCAGTGCTGACTGGGTTTTGTGGACCATTTTGCAATGTAGCCACTGAGTTATGAGGCTCACCATCGCACTTTGACGAATGCTCTTTGTTTCGAAGCAATCAACAGGAACCACTGCATCACTTTTACGTGCTTCCTGGCATTCATTAGTGTGACGCATCAGCGATCTTGAGATAACTCGTATCTCCTCTGAAATTTGAACTTGTACCACCAAGTGCTGGATTCAGAAACTTTACTACTGGACTATTCGGGTAGTGATTAATCTACTTTTTGACCCGATTAAATGCACTATTTAATTAGAAGGAAACAACTGAATTCTTTCTTTCCAGTTTGAGTGTTAACTGTATCGATCATTCTGCAATGTGACTACTACACCGTGATGTGCTAGATCAACTTAGTTACATCACAGTCATCAACCGAAGTTACCAGATATGGATGATAAGAAATTAATTAGTAGATGATATTCACTATGGGCTCAGAATGTTATTTGTTTGGTTTTCTATTTTGATATTGGTACACCATAGCAGATACAATGCATAACTTATTCCGTCGGAGCTACAGATGCTTTTCATTCGTTATCCGTTTTGTAATTTGACAATCTAAGTGTGGGGCCACTTCAGGTTAACAGTAAGTCTTCAACTTTGTGAAGCGTCTTTAAATTTAGGCCACTGTATTTAGTTTGATGTACTAGTATACCAGACCAATATCAATAATTCATATATTGCATATTAGATGAAAGTTAGTAAAAACGTCATGCCTGAAAGATTATATGAATTGTATCAAGGTAACTAGAATGCATGTTTTCTGGTGTGACTGGACAATATCAGTAGCCAATCAAGAAAATGGAGACTTTTCTGTGCTGTTCAAGAAAAGATACTTTGCAGTCAAATACAATTTGAACTCAAGCTATCCACATGAAGCTTTTCAAACTGAAAAAGTTTAATCATAGTATTACCTTCCAAATCTTATAGGGTAAAGCCTAAAAGAACTATATTGGCTGGGTATTAGAATGCAAATTATTATGGATACCATTGTTGAGTAAATAAGCATGCTACTCATTTCGGTAAGTAACAGTTTCAGAACTTCTAAGATATGTTATGGTATTAACTAAAGGTAGACAGAACTCAGAGATCATCAACTAATCTAATGCAGTTAGAATATTGTTATCAGTGGAAGGTATTTGCTCAAGAAGAAATTTTAATACTTTTGTTCTGTTTTATTCAAGATGGCATTATGGTATTTAGAGAGTTTCTTCGTACAGAGTTCAGCGATGAAAATATTCGTTTCTGGCTAATTTGTGAGGAGTATCGCAATAAGTCTGGTTCAAAGAATATGCAACGTAAAGCTTTCAAAATTTTCAATGAATATGTAGCAGTTCAAGCTGCCAGTGAAGTGAGTGCACCTAATACTATATTATGATTGTGACTTATTCTGTCAGATTAAAACTGCTGTAAATATATCTCAAATAGCATAGAACTATTTTCCAGTGATAGCTGTATTGAGTCAATGTTGTTTTTTCCTTTAAACCACGGTCATAACAGAAGGTATTTGTAGTTAAAATTGTCACAAGAATCCATATTGTAGTAAACATGAAAGCACGGAAACTGTATCAAGGAGCTTGTACATGCCATATTCAACGAACTCAAAAATGACAATCGTCTCACTGTCATGTCGAAAGCGTTTCTTTCTATAGTTTCAAATAATCAGGAATAAAAGAATAGGCGAAAACTTATTTGAAGGTTTACTGTTTTAAAGAAAAAAACCAATAGGCAAAATTCCCTGAATAAATGATTTTATCACAGTCACTTCAGAATACAAGTCACCAAAACACATAATATTGAAAACTATTCTTTGCTATCTCACATATATTAATAATTTCTCTCTAACAGACATTTTCAAGTAATTTAAGTCTCTTAGTAATAACGCTTAAAGGCTAGCAATGAAATTTAAGAGATGCATGTCGTCCTATATATGTGAATGGTCAACTGGATGTACCTGCTTTCCAGTGAACGGTGCCGGTTCTAATACGATTTGACACAGGACCGATCATTTCAAGAGCCGCAGAGTTATCTGTTAGGTCACTAAGCCTTTTGAGATTCTCAGTTTGTTTCGTTAAATTGTGTTTTCAGTTATTACCAATGCTGAAAGTACGATTTGGTTTGACATACGCATTTTATGTTACATAAAGTCAAAAGCTATGTACTTTCTTGCGTAACGAACATGCTGGATGTTCTCTACTTTGCTACGAATAATGTAAATATCATAAGGATGGAGAATGAGGTTCGTAATTACTGAGTTTGCCGTTTTGATTACTTCATGACATCAAACTTCCGCGAAGCACCTTTTGCCTCTTGATAGTTAACTTTTGAGTTTCCCGTATCGAATTCTTAGTTAATATACATTCCGTGAACCACGTACATATACTGTGTATCTGAGTCCACTAGTCATCTATGTGAGATGTCAGTAATCGGCATCAGTTGACATAATTTCATAATTTTCGCTTTACGTTGTCATTTGAAAAATATTTGAAGTTGCCTACTCAGTGTAAATCCTAAAAATTTGAAAGATTAAGTTTGGTTTTCAGTAATTATTGAGATTATATCTAAAAAAACATATATCAAGACTGCATTTTAACTGGTACCCATTTTTTTTAACTGTAAAATTGATGACTTGCTGTTAGATATCTTACAGCCTCCAGAGTGTGCTATCGTGTCAGAGCAATGGCAATGAATAAAAGATATAAAATGTCACAGAATTTACACATGCTCATTTTTAGAAATTTTGCGTTATTCGACTTTACGAAGTTAATAATATCACTCAATAACTTACAGCAGTGGAAATACAGTCTTAACTTAAATAAGATAAAACAGTATCTCAGTGTTTCCACTGAACTATCAAGCATACTTCCATGCAGATATCTTTGAAAACCTTTTTTTAAATCTTCCTAATCATACATATCGTTCTTACAAGCTGGTATCATAATGACTATCATTCATTCAATGATAAACTTGATTTACAGCAGAAAGATTTGTACTTATGACAGAATTTTGCAAAAATACTGTCAACTTGAAGTAATCAGTGATGAGTTCTTCAAGCCATTTCATGTTCATATGAACTGTGAAACTCTGCACCGGTATGATTTCAAGTAGTCCTACTATACAAAACATTTTGTTCGATTGTGTGATTTATCCTGATTTTGAATGGTTAGGTCACAATTTACAACAAACTTCACAGTTTTCATGACTCTATCTGGATATCAGACAATGAACCAATATTTCATTATTCTGTGATAGTAGCATAAAAATGTACGCATTTCGTTTTACTTACTTTCAACAACGAAGATGTGTATCTTATAATCTATGAAAAAAGTGAATCAGAAAAATGTATCAAAACAATACAGGAATGAAAACATGCTTTTTTCCCAGAGAAGAAATATAAAATGTTTGAACTGATGAATCCAGAGTAGCTAGATGGAGCTTTTTATGAACAGCAATTTATTGCTATATTCGTTAATAGTAAATAGGCTATTCATGAGCATTGATTTCATCTCATTTATTTTCAGTAAAAAGTGATTAACATCCTTCTTAGTTTTCAGTATGTAGGAAAGACTTCGTGAAGAATTCACTTTCTGTGAAATCACTCTTGAAATTTGTACACTGTCATAGAAACTAATTTTATTATTATTGTTTGCTTTCTAAGACGAAGAATTTCAATATACTTTGTAACGTAATAATAACTTTTGGTAAGCTGTGGTTTGAAAGTAACACGAGAATGGAAATCTGCCTAAGAAGCTGGAAAATATTTGACAGCTTACTTGAAAGAAAACACTTTAAGGCGAGAATGAGTTAAAACCAAGAAATGAAGAATACGTTATGAAATGGTCAAATGATTGTCAATGAGTCAAAAGATAGAATTTAAAATTAACAGTTAGTATCTGAGTAAGAATTTTGCACAATAAGAAACTATCAAAATCGCAAACTCAAGCAGAAAAGTGAATTATTTGACTTCAAGGCTATGTAATATTGGGAAGTGAATTCAGTAAAAGAAAGAAAATTTTAGTTTTTCGAATGCACAGTTTCATCTTTAAATCCATGTAGCTAAAGCTTTAGCAATAAATAATGGACATTACCTTAAACCCAAAAGGATTTTGTCTTGCATTATATAAATTAAATCAAATCAATCTTCGGAAATTGGGCATCAACTGGCAGTCAAGTATTTTAAAATGAAAATTTTGACTGGTAAAGATTCTCTCTTACTGAACCTTGACAAAAGTTGTCAACGTTAAGAATTTGTCTCCTATTATTACCAACTTTCCTAGGTACACAAAGCAGGTGAACTGATAAACTCACTTGAGAGTAGTCAGCTAATGCATTTTATCCTCCTTAAAAATATTCACTGTTAAGTGACCAGTATAAATGATTCTCCGGGTCATGGTAAAGAATGTTCTTTCAATAGCTCTTATCAATCTGTATTTTAAAAATATCATCTGCTGTGCTATCACTGAATCAAAAACTCAAGGGCAGTTTTTTTATCTACCAGGTGATATGTCTGAAGAATCAGATCTGATTGATCACCTTTATTCTTATACCATTCTATCTGCCCACCTAAGAATTTTTCGTTGTTTTTCACTGTATCACACAGACATATGTTTTCTACTTGAGGGGAGAAAGTATTCAGTGTATTTATTTTTGTGTTGATAAATACCCAGCCATTTAGTTCAGACAAACGTTCTTTCTAGGAACTTATCCTTTATTCTTGTTAGCTGAATATCAGGAAAAGATGGTTTAGAATGAGATTCTATTTTGTTTGTAAAAGGGATGCAATAATAACATCGGTAAAATATATATTCATATTGTCGACGTATATCGGCATCACATGTTGAAATGTGCCACCAAGGTATCTTGTATAGAATGTTAACTGTTTGGAAACTGCGGCACATACAGTTATTTTCATTTGGAACATAAGCACATCTGCTAAAAGTAAGCTTTACAATGGCCGCACTGCAATGTCATCTTTTTAATGATAAAAGCTGTTGTCTCAATACGGGCACTCTGTGATAAATCCATATTTAGGAAACTTAATCCAACGTAGTCACAGACGAAAAGGGAAATTTTTGATAATGAGAAGAATGAAGTGTTATCACTATTTCTCAAGTTAAATTCCTGTTTCAAATCATTAAAATTTATACAACTTTCATTTTTCTAGTCCATAAAATATGATAAATAAATGTAATCTGGTAAAGTGAGCTAAAGTAAGCCAGTAGAATACCATGGCTACAAAAAATTTCCTTCTATTTTCAAAATAAGAATGAAGCTTTTCTCAGTTAAACCAGTGATAACCATTATAAAGATTCAAAACCAGAATGTTTATTCTGGTTAGGTGGAAGCCACAGATATTTCTGCGAACCCAACCAACATTGAAAACGAGTTCAGATCTTTTTGAGCATTTTTAACAAATTCATTTCAACGAATTCACTTTGGTTTTTTTGCTACCACATATTTTCGTCAGCTGCCGATAAGGGTCATGGTACCCAGACACTTGCTCTTTTGTTGGTACTTTGGTGTATGACCTAGCACTTAAGTGTCACCTGATAAAACGCCTTCTCAATTAGATGTGCCAGCAACACAATATATTCTTTTGTCACCTAAAACTACAGAACCTAAAACAATGCATCGTCTTGTGACTAAAAATACATCTCGTGCGTGAGAAATTAGCTACTGCTACAAACGTTTTATAACTGGAACTTTCTTGAATTCAGTTGTTCAGTATAAATTAACAACTGTGAAGTCTTGACATTCATACAAAAACAAAATATACCAGCATACGAATCGAATTTGTTCAGTGCTGTGAATAACGATAAATTGTATACTTTATACAATGCCAATCTAATCGTTTTGTGGTCATCAAAATGTCAAAAATATAAAAAATTTAGTGTGTGAAGAAAAGTAACCATCCGTAAAAAGTATTACCATATGATAAACTACTTGATACATTCGTTATAATTCAATTATTTCACTTTCCACATAAATGGGTGAGAAACATGAGGCACCTCAAGTAATCAGTTATCGTGTGTACGAATATCTGAGGGCAAATCAACTCCCTTGAGGTTGCAAGTGCGCCTTGATGATGAATAATGATAAGCACCAAACCTAAATTCAGCCATTCTAACTCATTTCCTCCGGTTGTCACCAAGAAATGCTTTGAACTGAATATCTTGGGCAGATAAGTTAGCTGAGTTGTCAGAAATCGGCAACAGTGGCGAAAATGAACACAGTAACTATGATTTTTGGGACCTCAAACCTTTTTAAAAACATCTTGTTGGGCGTCTTCATGAAGTGTGATAATTCCAACCAATGTCATTGTTTGTCATTTTCTACATTAACCTGCCTGGATGAATTCTATAAAGAGCAGACCATTCAAATTCATCCCTAAAATTTTCTGAAACAATATAGTTGTAGAAGTCCCTAGTTAATTTCAATATATTCACGTCTGTATATCTTCTAAGGTTTCTTTTGTCTGTGTATAGTAAGGAATTTAGGAAAATTACTCATGCTACCAGATATATCACACTTATAGCATCTGTTTAAATGGTTGTTTAATTCATGTACACACAGTTATGGTGACCATTAGCATAAATCTTTCAATGCTAAATTAAAATTATGAGTTTAAATCACTTCATACATTTTTCTAATTTCTTTTTTGACAGGTTAACTTGGATTCAAATACAAGATTACAAACTGAAAAAGAACTTGAATCAGCTAACAGAAATACATTTGACCAGTGTCAACGAAGGATTCAATCTTTAATGGAGAAAGATTCATACCGGCGATTTTTAAGATCTGACTTATATCTGATAGCACTAGAAATGAGTAAAGAAAGAGAAAATTACGAGATGTCAAATAAATTTGGTCGACATTCTGTAATAGATTTTCAAGGACTTAAAAATGCTCTTATTTTTGCCAAGAATTTCTCAGTAACCAACTCATCGTCTAGTAAAATAGTACGCAATTTCAGTACTGTTGACAATGGGGTAATCAGTGAAAGTAAGGAGTGTACTATTACTGCAGCTGGTGATCAGGAAAGTGAGAATTCTGATTGCCAATTTGAAGTTTCAAAACCTTTTCCTAAAGTAAAATCAATTTATCAACTCAAAGACCAATCTGTGCAATGTCAGTCAACTACACTACTAAAGTCGTTATCGCATAATTCCTGAACTTGAACATACTGACTGAAAGGAGGAATACTCCTCTCTTTGTATAGCAAGCTTCTTATCATAGTATATCCTAATTCACATCTAAAGTACATCGATTTGATACCTTTTATCAATGAAAAGTCGAACGTGTAAATTAATATAACTTATTTTTGATAAAACTTACAACGCTCTCTATGTTTTTTGATAAAGTATTTAGGTATTGGTTTATGCTGAAGGTAAGGATAGTGCAATTGTTAGTATAAAGATGGATTTTAAGGCATGTGGTTTTAGTGAAATGTGAATGAGATCGACAAATGATTAGCTAAGTATTAAGCTGAGACGTTTTCTAACACAGTAAACTCATGATAAGAATAATTTAACTTGAACAACAAGCTACAGAGAAATATACTGTATTTTACAAATCCTGCAGCCAATCTAAATGCTGGAAAACGTTTTGGTGCAGGAAAAACCGATAATTGCACCTTTTTTACACACTTTCTTGAAGTTCACCATCATTACTTCATTGCTTTCAAGGAAACCATACACAATTAGGGTTTCCAGCTTCACTTTTTTCAAAGCTGTTGTCAATTTCTTTCTTGAGCATCTGTATTCTCAAACTAAGCTCTGCAGATGTCTAGTAAGTAATAGGAAATTTCCTTTTTTAAAGCTCCATGTAATAGGAACCATTTTAGTAGTCACCTTAGCTAAAAACTCTTATCGCCAAGTAATGAACTTTTCTCTCGAGTATACAATAAAGATGACTGCAAAATATTTCTATGCAAACTGAAGAGACTCTTCAAACTATTCTCTGTTGAATTAAGCTTATTACTGATTCACAAGCCTGGAGACAGAAAGGTATCACTTTATGTCTTTGAGCTGGCCACGTAAAGTAAAAGGAGGTTACAGCAGGCTTCTGTTTAACAAGCAGAGTATCTGAACCCATACAAGTAGAAGGGAAGTCAATTATGAACCTCATTAGAAGTGCATAGGAGGCGAAAAAGTTAAGAAATCCCATGAAAAAAAACACTTTATTAGGAGTGAAATAAAAAATTAGCCACCAAACACATATAGGACAACCTCCAGTTACAGTAAACTAAGGAATTCATTTCCTTTCCTGAAAACTGGGTCGCGGAAATTGTCACATGTTTTGCCTGCAAATGATGATTTGCTTCAAATGAAATTGCTGTTATACATCAACTAGAAGTGAATAAGACAACGTTGATAGATAGTTTGCAGAAAGCAGTTGAAAACAACTTTCCTTGTTTTGCAAAAGCTTTATTCAGAATTCCTTGTTGTTCAACTTATTTAAAACCAAGCTCGTGAATACTTGACCATTTTATCACTCACTACTGGATAATATCATAAGCAGCTGCTATGGGTTCATGCATAAAAACACCATTTTAGAGTAATTTAGCTGCAGTTTCACATTACACAAGAAAGAACTGCAAAAACACCAATAATGACCAAAAATAACTCTTAGAAAGGTGTTCAAAAAAGTCAAAGGATCTCACTAGCTTCTAGTAAATAATTCGATGTGCGTGAGCTCAGACCCTCAGACTTCTGGCACAATAAGGAGCGGACGCGTATCGAATTTAAAACGTTGAGAAGTTTCCTGAATGAGCACAAACAGTGATAGGTAGCGAAGGTTGAAGGTCGTCTTCCATCTGGATTTGACCCAAAAGCCTGTGCTGGTGCGTGATGTTCCCGAATGATCTCAGTGTATATCAAGTCCAATCCATCTCCACTTGCTTCTACCGATTTGTTCTTGGACATGCGTTATCCATCTCCTTTCACCATCTCCCTCGCTGTGCAATCTTAAATGAAGTAAATATAAGCTGGAAAAATGTAACAGGCGGCTAAACTGAAACTTGAAACCAGTCCAAGAAGCTTTTCACTCCCGGTGTGAGTCAATGTGACATATTCATATTGTCCAAAGAAAAGGTATTTATCTAGTTCAGAAGTACAAAGGCTGAATATTTGCTGTGAAAAAAGTTTGTTAAATTCATAAGCAAAGCTTACTCTCATTACTTTCAGCTGTAGTTTGTATAAAGTTTAAATTGTCTACCTCTTGCATGTTCAAGTAGCAACAGTTAAAGGAATGCAGTACATAAGGGGTAATGTATTGTTCCCCTTTTCTTTCAATTTATAATTTATGCAACAGATCTAATGGATTGAGTCCAATTGTATGAACTGACGAATGTAAATAAATAAGGAGCAAAAGAATGGTTCAACTACTACTATCGATCAGTAGTGTGCCTGAACAGTCGATAAAGTCATGATTAAAACAGCATATTGAATTATTAAGAAAACTAACTTCCATTAAATGCATATCAATAGATCCAATAAGTGAAGAGATTGTGTGCAGTTCATAGATGAAACGTTGACAAGAGCAAAATAATTAACCTATAACTAGCTAAATTTATCTGACAGCATTATTCATATTCTGCCTCTTTGTTTATCTTTGCTTCGCTTTGAATTTATGAATTAATTATGCTTATATATATCGCTTTACTAATGTGTCCATTTTACTTAGTTTGATTACGGCAAACTCTAATGAATATGATATGCTTGTTCTGCATATCTATATTTTCTGCTAAATGTTTAATCTAAGGTAAACAGTATACCAGATGGTGTCTCTAATCGAATTATCATGTATATCCTTGGTGTATTCAACAATCCTACATTCATGTGTACCGATACAGTTTTCTGTCTGTCGTTTATGTATTTATTGAGTCTGGTTTTTTACAGTTTGAAGGATTGTGTTATAGGTGAAAAATAAGTCAGATGGAAAAATAATCTGGAGTAATTATTTTTCAGTCTTCAAATAATCACCTCTTAAAGGGGTAAATGCAGAGATATAGTGATATTTACAGTTCAGGTGGAGCTACTGCATATTTCTTATTCATTGATGTTCAGTCTTAGACAGCAACAATGTTATTTGAATGATTCATCCACAGAATAGTATTAAGTTTTTAATCAGGCAGTAATCATTACTGACTGATATCATTCAGAAAACCAATGAAACCCTGTCACATCTGTTTCATCATTGGATTGGACTCATCAGTTACGAGCACCCATAAATTCTCAAAGGGATGAGCGTAGTACAAGTAGCTTTTGTGGCAGACGCGTCAGCATCCAATCACTGGTCTAGTTTTTCTACCAAAGCAAGTTTCTGATGCTATCTTGATCCAAGAAAATCAGTTAACTATGAGAAAACTGATCAACTTGTTATAAACTGAAGCATAATTATTGCAAGCCAAGTTACAATTCCCAAAGTGTGGAGAACAAAGTCTGTACAATAAAATGAGCTTCTTTTAGCTTGAAACTTCTGATCAGCGACGACTAATGCAAAGGGAAAAAACTAGAAGTAGATAAATTATGATATAAACGTTGAAAAATTTTAGGTACAACCTTCATTCAGAATTTTTGAGAAAATGATTGAAAGGTTTTTGGCAAATGATTTGTAGCAAAACACATCACAGCAACACAGTGGATTTTGAAAAAGGGAGTAGGGTTGTATGAAGTTGTTTATTGACAGTTGTGATTATGAAAAGAATCCATCCATACCTAGCTTTTCAGACTCAAGTGAGAATGCGAGATTCAGCATGATCTTTGCTTGCAGAATGCTTGCATACATGAAATGAACTGGTCCTGATGATAGTATTATTGTGTGATTATACATCGCTTTTATTTTGATTATTTATACAGATGGTTTTAATTCAGTACAAATCCTTTACCCATCTAATGTATCTCATTTGTGTTCCTACGTAGAATTAGCTAATTTCCTTACTTTTGTTGAGTTTTTCTACAAACATTTTGCTTAGAGTTCTTGATCTTCTCTCTAGCTACTCAAAAATAAAACAAATTTCCCTTATCATTTATATCATTTGTTTCATGAATGTCTCCTTGGTGAAACAGTGAGTCATATCTAGAGTTAGAAAAGCATGGCATCAAATAAAGTATCCACTTCCGTTCTACAAAAAGTGTCCAGGACAACTGAAGTCAACTATTATAAACTCCTGCTATAAGTTGATTAGTGCGAAACCAGGTAACAGAAATTATAACCTAAGTGGTACAGATCCCAACTGAACTACCTCACTAACATGGAGTTATTGTTGGTCAGGTCAGGTTCAGGCATACTCATGAACCAGCATGTCTATGTTGCAAAGTTGTTCTTCGTACTAATAAATGAAAACAAATTTTCAAAAGAAACTGTTAGGGAACACACAGCCGAACGAACTGAGCAGAAGCTAACCAAAATCCTTAAAGGACGTAAAACGAATCAATCATAAACAGTGATCTGCTTGAACATTTGAAACCAACAGTTTCCGAAATCCTATGACTCTCTAGCCTGCTGAAAGTACTCAAGAAAGATGTTTCTCTGCATACAATTCCAGTTGTGAATAATTTTCAGAAGTATGTGACTGCTATGTGATAGACTAAAATTCTTCAACCAGTTAGAAGTTGGATTAATAGAAACACTTCACTTGATTCATTTGATTTTGTTGAAGCAGTAACCTAAATGTATCCGGAAAAGGGATTTTGTCTTTTGACATCACTACACTTTAGACAAATATTCCACCTACAGAGGCTATTTGTTTCCTTTGTACTAACGTAAAAAAACATATTTATATGAGTTTCTCTCTTTCGTGACTAAGTTTAAAAACCATTTATTTACCATTTATCATATAAATCAGTCAGTGCTTCTACTAATTAACAGTTTGGTCACTCAGAATAGTATAAATATATGAAAACTTTAATTATCTATGCATGAAGACGTGAATATTTAAGGACGAATGGTTCTATCTAACTTTAATGCTGTAGTAATGCATTTTTTAGCTGTGAAGTACTGGTAAAGTACATTGCAATAAATCTAAGTGAAAGCTGGCTAACATTCATTACGCCTCATTGCTTCGACATAGATAAAAAGATTATTTTTTAGTAATATGAATTTAATATATCAATGTTTCCGACCAATTTATTTAACCTCAATACAAATAGTGTGATTATTCAATCAAACTATTTTATAAAAGTGGGATAAATGGTAAAGAGTAATATGATATTAAGTGGTTGATTTAACACATAAGTGGGAACTGTTTCATTCAAGTTTCAACAATTAAAGAATTACTCAATTGTGAAATAAACGTTGAAATAATAAATGATCAGAGGTAAAGAAAAAGTAGACAGAAGT